AAAAGCCCAATCAGCCAAAATGACCAAACCAAAATCAACTTCAGTGATTATGAAAAACAGAAAAAGAAGAAAACAATCCGGAATTAGATGATTTTTTACGATTAATCCCTAACTTATGCTATTAACCAATTGAAAACAAAACAAGCTAAGATTAATTCAACTAATAAAGAAAACAAAAAATAACGAAGCAAATATAAGAATAATAATATATATAAAAAAAATAGAAAAATGATGCAAGAAACAAAGTCAGGAGAGAAAAGAGGGGAAAAATACCAATTCTTGCCGGAATGAATTGACAAATTGAGACGACTCGATGAACGATGAAAGGAGTCGGAGCTTGGCCGGAAACAGGTGAGTCAGTCAAAATCCAACAACCTCGGAATGAACTAAAACTAATGCCAATCGATTGCTCTCGTTAAAAGTAATCGATTAACGTAAGTTTTAGGTCAAAACGAGTTGGAACTCAGAGAAGAACAAGGAAATTAGGGTTTGCCCTTTTCTGGGGTTTCAGATCTAAGATTCGGACAAACGGATGAGAATTTTTGGAAATATGGTGATGGATTAGGAATCAGGCGCGGGTGGTGATTGTGTAGTATGAATTTGGGGTCGATGGGGTCACGCCTTCGGCCGGTGGGGGTTTGGAAATTTGGGGCGGCTAGGGTTTGGATTCTCAGAGATTGAGACGAAATGAAGAAGATTGAAATGGGGGGGGGGGGGGTCCAATTCGGACATATGTATTAAACCAAACACCAGTTCCGGACCGTTGGATTATTGATACCCAACGACTGAGATGAAGGGGGCTCAAAACGGGGTCGTTTGGTCGATTGGGGAAAGCTGGACCGGGTTGTTTGCTGGGCTGGGGCGGGTTGGTGATAAAAAAAATAGGGTTGGGCTTTAGCAGTTGGTCCAATAACAATCAGCCCTATTTTTTAATTCTCTTTTTCCTCTCTTCTTTTTTTTTTCATTTGTTTTTCTTTTTCTTTTAATTAATTAAAACACCTAAATTAAATTATTGAATTAAATTAATTAGAAAAAATTAAGCTGATTGTCTACTATAATATTTACAAAAATTAATTAATCTTAAATTAAAAGAAGAAATCACTAATTTAAAATTAAAAGGCTAAAATGCAAAAGTAAGCTAATTTTTGTGATTTTCATTTTTAAAATAAAATAACTAATTTACTAATTAACCTTAAAAATATGAAAATGAAACCTAAATGCAATGCATGGTATTTTTGGCATTTTTTATGGTTTTAACAAAAATAAACATGCACAAAAATGCACACAATTAGCACAAATTCCCACAACATCCCATAAAATTGTAAAAATGGAAAAAACTATTTTTCCTGTATATTATGGGAGTAACTTCTATAGGGCAAAAATCACGTGCTCACAACCTTGTAAGAGGGAATTAACCCCATAGGTGAATTAAATTAATATGTGCTAGCATTTGTGGGGGCTACGTATGCACGAGGTGACGCGAGTCCGTACGTAGCTACTATTCATGCTTATGTCCGGGTAATTTTAGGTTTATACCAGGCTTTGCGGACACCATTATTTGATGATATGTGTTAATTGTATTGAATGGGGCTAAGTTGAGGATCTTAAGATTTCAAAAGTTTCAAGTTGAATTTCTTTATTAAAAGAAATGAGAGATATTATGGTAACCTGAGAATTTTATATTCAATCGTGTTGCAAGTATTTTTTCGCGAGCAGGGTAACTTTTCCACTACTCTCATGGGAGCGAGTCGTTCGCCTCGGCAGGTTAATAGATGCATTTATGGTTTGTGTCGTTCGACCCTCGATAGTGAACACAGTTATGTATATGTATATTTGAATCGAGCCGTACGTGCGGCATAATTCGTGCGTGAGACTAATATTTGGAAGTCCCTTTGTATTTGATATTTATTATTGGCTTGAGAAATTACATGTTTAAATGAGGGAAACTATTCGGTTCTTACTAGCGGTGAATGGATTATTTATTTATTTCTTACTCAAAGTTCTATTGTCGTTTATATCTATCAATGTTTAATTAAAATTTCACATTATTACATTATTGGCCCATAGTAAGTGTCGAAGTCGACCCCTCGTCACTACTTCTTCGAAGTTAGATTGGATACTTACTGAGAACATGTTGTTTATTTAATCACGCTACACTTCTGCACTTAAATGTGCAGGATCTGAGACAAGTGCATTAGGATATCAGTCCGGCGCGCACACTTGACTTCCACTTCGAGACTTCACGGTGAGCTGCCTTCCGAGCCGTTCTGCACCTGCTAGTGTCTTTCTTTTGTTATATTTTTCTATCTATTTAACTTCAGACAGTAGAGTAGTATTCTTTTGTATATTCTACTAGAGTGCTCATACACTTGTGACACCGGGTCTTGGCACACACTAGTACACTTATGATTTTGGATTGTATTACTATGATTATGATTACACTCAGTTGCTTTCGTCTTATTATTTAAAATTTGTCATTTTTTTAGAACTTTTAGATCAAGGGAAGTTTAGTTACTTGAAAATCTATTGAGAAGAGAAATCATGTGGTTAGTTCTGTTGGCTTGCCTAGCGGCGGCGCTGAGAGCCATCACGGCCTATAATAGAATTGGGTCGTGACAATTCTCCCTCCTATTTTCTTTTGAAATCCATTTGTTATTTTGTGCAGCCACAAATGGTCACTATGAAAATAGACTAACAATGCAAGGAGTACGAGATACAGTACATCTTATCCACATCTCATTCTTTTCTGTAAATTCTGGGTTCCCTTCTCAACAAGTCATGTGATCCTGCACTGTCTTTCGTCCTTTTCCTCAAAAAAATAGAAAAAAAAGAAAAAAAAGAAAAAGAGAGAGAGAAAGAGGAAGTGCTAACCTTTGTCCTTTCCACTTAAATATGTGCCCTTAAATATTGAACATACAAAATTAATTCATACATTTTATATTTTTACAAATTAAAGAAGAAAAAATTCCTCCACTTCCCTTATTCTGTCACATCATCGCGTTGTAACCCTAAACCATGACGTTAACTGAGTTTGGACTTCTATGAAGGAATATAATACAAAGATGAACGAGAAGTTTTAGGAGTCGTTTGGTAGGATATATTAAAAAAATAATATATGTATTAGCCTTAGTGTATGCGTCAAAATCTGACGGCGTATGGATTAACGTTAACAGGAATGGAAGAAGGTCGACTAAGACGTGGTCGTACCTACAGGGCGTAATAACGACGAAGACCTCGGCCACAACCCAAGATGGAGCCCTCGAAAAGCCTGTATGGCGGAGTGGATAACACGATATTTAAGGGAGGCGACATGAAGGACAATAAGGAGACGAAGACACTCTAGTTAAGGATCGATAGACAAAAGGGAATACTGATAATATATATATATATATATGGGGCAAGAAGACAGAAAAGGGGGGATTTTTCCCTCAGAGAGAGAAAAGGGAGAAGAACGGAAGACCAAGAAAAGGGTTTAGATAGCAAAAACACATCTCTGTAATTATGATTGCCAAACCAATAAATATAGATCTCATAGTCATCAATGGCATTCCTTCTTTTCATTCTTTGCTCTTACATTACGGAACGATACTCAAAAGATATAAGTTTATTATCATGCTTGATGTCTTTTGATGATCTTAAATCGAGCTACAAGCTTTGTTATATCTCATTCTTTTATCCATTGCACTTAGATCTAGAGTTAATTATCCTTGGCTAGGATTTATCCTCTATTTTCTTCATTAATTAGTTTAACAAAAGGCTTAACACTTTTTGATCAAACACTTAGTATTATTAATTTCTTGTTTGATAGTGTTTTTTAACTTATGTATAACTAATACATATTTTAGTTATACACCTTATTCAGTACTATTCTTGAACACAAAATATTATGGCATTAGCAAGACCATAGTTTATAATATATGAATAAGCATGTATAAAAACAAAATGTGCCTTTCAAAACTTTTTCCAAATCCTTTCCAAAAAAGATGGAGGGTTTTTGGAAAGAAAGCAAATAACTTTTAAAAAAAAAAAAGAAAATGATGCAATGCATGTTAATATCGTTATACCAAACCAATGTTAATAAAAAATAATCTCAATATATATAACTAATCTCAATATATATAACTAATATCAGTAAATATAACACAGTAACGTGACTCCAACCTATCTATACGTTTGTTTTGGCCCAATTCTAATTTTGGAAATGTAGCCCAAAAGGGCTCTAAAATGGGAATCAAGCATTAATTCGGGCTTCAACTTCAGATTAAAGGTCGGGTTCATTTTACCGCTCAAATTCCCCAAATTTGAACTGTATTCATCTCCCGCTCTTGCCCTAATTTGACACCACTCTCAAGCGCAAACTTCTCGGCATTCTCTCCTCCGGCGAAATCGAGTTGTAAGTTTCCTCGAAATTTCATCCCCTCTCTCATTATAATTGAAATGCGTTTTTTCTGTTAGTAAAATCTAGAAGAATTAACCCAAATATCCACTCAACCTCTTAAACTAAAAATAGCCAGGTATAATATATGTATAAGTTATGTATTATATGTGTATAATCGATGTTTAATCTATGTATATGGCCCAAATGGGAATCAACTGTGTTGCTTTTTATTGTGAACTGGCCCAAATGCTGCATTCACAATTTAATACTTAATTCAATATTCTGGTATCTGAAAATAGGGAATAACTTTCTTTAATCTGGTCGTGTCTAAGCAAATTGGGACGTCATATGTCGGGACAGATGAAATATGCAGTTGTTACTTGTTTTCCATGTGATAATGGGTGTGAAGTTGTTCGGTGTACTGATTTTCCTTTTGAATAATCATAATCAGATATCTGAGAAGTGATATTGTGGAACAACAACAACATACACGGTATAATCCCACGGATGGGGTCTGGGGAGGGTAGTGTGTACGCAGACCTTACACCTACCTGGAGAGGCAGAGAGGCTGTTTCCGATAGACCCTCGGCTCAAGAAAAGGTGGAAAGGAAGAATCGAGAAGAAGAAGAAGAGAAAAGAGGGGGGAGAAAGAAGGAAGAGGGAGGCAAAAGACGATAAGGAAAGAGAAGAAAAAGTAGCATCAAATAGTAACCATCAGGGAGCAACAATATCCAGTAAAAGGGAAGAAGTGATATTGTGGAAATAAAGGGAAAAAGATATTGAGGCTCTAAAAATGGGATTTTTCATATTGCGAGTTAATAGCCCTTCGAAAGCAAATATTACTACTTTTTAATTTATTTACCGAATATTTCTGCTTTCTTACCATTCAAAGATATTTTCTCTACCGGGATTACTAATTATTAGATTTGTAGATTATATCATGATTCCACACTGATAAGACTTTGAAAGAAATGCCTTTTTACTTTTTCCGAATTTTTTTAGCATTGCGTTTTGCATATTCAAGGTCAGTTTTAAAGCCTAAACAGGAGAATTTTGGATGTGAGGAAGTAAGACACTAGGGGAGGACAAAATTGAGATTGTAGAGTAGATGGAGGCTAGTTTTTTGCTTCTCCTTCTGGTAGTTTGGTTTGCACTGTATGAGCTTGTCCCGAGTAAAATCTTTTGAAGCATCGACTCATACAACTCTTCGATTTCACTGTCTTGTGTACCTTATTTCTGATCGGAACACTGTAATGCTGCAGACATCAGTTGATTGAGAGCTGTAAGCATGGCAAAGAATCTCATTCAGAGGCCTCTAATCTTTCAAGATGAAAATTCGGATGTGTACCTCAAAAGTACGAGTTGGTTTATCCATTTTTGCCTTGTCTAAGATACTTATGCCAGAAATTTACCTGTTTATCTGGAAAATTCATTAAATTCGTGCAGCTATGCTTACAGATTATTTCATTTATTTTTTGCAGAGGGTGTGATATCTGGCAAATCAAAGAGTGGTAAACCATATGCTATTAAGAACGGTATTATAGGGCTTAAAAGTCGTAATGCCCTCAATGACATCACAAACAAGTCAACTGCCCCTCCTGAAGAAGCAACAAAGAAAAAGAGTTCACAAAAGGAGCTTAAAGTTCCCAACGAGCTTAACATTGCAGAGGAGACATTTCAGCATGATCACAAAAAATGCATTGAGGCACAAAGATCCGCAATGACACTAAAACATTTCTTGGACTTAGTTCTGCCTGGATGTGGTAATATCTTCTTTCTTGTGGGAATGTAGGATGTGTATTCTGTCAGTTTTGTGACAAGTCAGTTCGATTAGTTGGTATTTCAGTCTGTTAGCAAACCAATCACCTACTGGAATAGATTCAATGCAGCTTCACATTTTCCTTTTCCATTTCGTCTTTTGACTTTCTAATTGGTTGCTTGAATACAACTTTTTTGTCTTAAACTTTTAAGAATTAATTGTCATATTCTTGCCAATCAAAATTATCTTACAATATTTGGGCATAAAATCTTAAAAGGATTTTGGACAACATTATAAATAAACAAACAAATAAGAATAATCAATAGATTTTTATTTCTTTCTTCCGTATTTTGTTTCTTTACCACAACTTAGAATCTAAAAACTGAACTTTGGGAAAGGAAAACTAACACCCAAAGAAAAAAAAAGAACCAGAAACCAAAGTTTTCAATTCAATTTATCCTTCCCAGGTTAAAACCAACTAGTAACGAAGCCCTAATCATTTTTATAGTTCTCTAGCCACAACTTGTTATTGATATTACTTGGCCTGAAGTTTTGATTCTTCAGATTGTCTTTTGGTTTGTGTTTTATTGCTCCATTATTTGGTGAAAAATTAGTTCCTGGATGCAGAAAGTTACTATTGCATTGTGGTTGTGGCCACTATCTCTGCTTATGCATATTTTGCTCTTGTTGCTTCTCATTCAAGCATAAATAAATACAGTTAAATAGTACATTTCATGCTTTGTGTCCAATTAGATACTTCAGGAGAACCTTACTGCATATTTTTCCTGCAGATTCAGCTTCTCCTATTGAAATTCCAAAAACGGATATGGGAATGGTGAGTCTAGTCCTTCATTCTTCTACATTTTCACATGCATAAGTGTAGTCTGAAAGGAAAAAAATCTGAAAGCGTGGTAGTGATCTCATATTTGTTTTTGCCCCGCAGAGCGATCAAGGAATTGATAGCGCACGCTGTTACCCCGTACCAGAAGAATTGCCTATGTCAGAGTTCTCTTGGTTGAGATCTTCATGGAAGTCTCCTCCAACTTCTCCAAAGAAGAGGGATTCACCACCCTCCTCTCCTTTTCGATGGGAGTTTGAGCTGATTGAATTCACATTGAAGGAAGAAAACGATTGCTGAAAGTGCCAGTGAACACTACCATATGGTTAATGACATGCACACGCATCAGTGACCCAACAGCTCTGGATTTTGTTGACTCTTCTAGTTTTTCACTAACAGTAGGAGACTTGTCTTTCTACTTCTAAGAAATTAGTTTGTGCTAATACAAGGGAACTGGTTATGCTTGGCTGTTGAAAGTTTGTGACACCTTGTATCTTGAATGATGTGTATTTTATGATGAGTTGCTCTAGCTTTTTACCTATAAATGGAGTTGATTATTTGAAAAGTTCACATCATTTTTGGACTCGAACTCTATATACTTTAATATAATAATCTTGTGAATTTTGTGGTGCTAAATGATACAAAAGATAGCCTATATCCAGAAATTATTTTAATACGCAAATAATTAAGCATATCTAGCAAAAAAAAAAAAAAAGCATAATAACCCCTCATCCTTTCATAAATTTGGAAAATATTATGACCTGTGAAGTCTAGGTTGTTGGCTTTTTGCATAAATCTATCTTGTTCATTTAAAGCAAGTCATTTTAAATAGGAATACGAAGATTATTTACAACGAATTTTTAGAGGTAGGGAGGAGGGCAAAGGTAGGAGAAGGAAAAGGAAGAGTAAAATCAATCCACTAGGTAGTGACTGTACAATTTAACTACATTCAATATTTTCTCGTCTCCAAATTTTTTATAATTTTCAGAATATTGGATGCTAGGAAATGAATCTTATCTGGTGGATTGTGATATAAGAAATTAGATAAATTCTCTGTATAAGTCGAACTGAAGAGTTCTATTAATACTTGTAAAGATGTAAGATTATCTTGTGAAAAACCGAAACCAACATACAATAGATGCACCAAATTGAGTTAGTTTAATTTTAGGAGGAGAATTTTCCGACTTCAATTTGTTTGGAATTGAGTCACAGTTGTTTTTTAACTTTAGGAGGAATTAATCACAAATTTGCGTGTGAAATTAGTGTCATTTTCTTTCAATAATCAGGAATTCTCGTTCTAAATTATAAGTTCTTCATTCTAATAGCTGGAATTTTATCTTTCATTTCTTTAAGAACAATAGCTGATGCCCCTAATACCTACACAGTATAAAAATGTAACGTGCATAAAACATTCTTAGCTTTCTATTTAACATGATCTGCAAAACACACACTCCAGAGTCCAGAATTAACCAAGTATGAAGAAGCCTTTTAACCAAGTATACTTAATTTTAATTAATTTAGTTACTGCATTTGAATGGTTGTATTCTATAGTTATAATGCATCATCTTGTCCTATATTATATTGTACTGTATTATTTTATTAATATAATATTTGAATAGACGATATTGTTTCATGTGATTTTAGAGTTCTTTTGAATAGTAGAGTGTTGGCCAGTCAAGAATTCTCATGTCCAAAAGATGAAAGTAGCGGAAATGAGGATGTTGAGATAGATGTGCGGATATACCAGAATTGATAAGATTAGAAGTGAAGATATTCGGGACAGGGTAGGAGTAGCCCCGATGGAGGACAAGATGCGGGAAGCGAGGCTTAGGTGGTTTGGGCATGTGAAGAGGAGAAGCACAAATGCTCCAGTGAGGAGGTGTGAGAGGTTGGCCTCGGGTGGTCTGAAGAAGGGTAGAGGTAGGCCAAAGAAGTATCGGGGAAAGGTAATTAGGTAGGACTTGGCGTTGTTTCAGCTCACTGAGGACATGACCCTTGATAGGAAGGTGCAGAGGTCGAGAATCGGGGTAGAAGGTTAGTAGGTAGTCGGGTGCGTATCTTCCCTATACCGGTAGTAGTAGTAGTTAGCTTTGTATTCAGTTATTAACAATCTTGATTACTACACATTTTCTTATTATATTGCTGTTGATACTGCTTGTTCTCTTATTATCTTGTTATTGTTACTGCTTGTTTTCTTATTATCTTGTTGTTGGTATTGCTTGTTGTTACTGTATGGGCAAAAAATACTATGTTACATACGGACCAACTCGACATCAAGGAAGCCTTCGAAGGCTGCCACGTGTCGTCAAAAGGATACAATGACCTGGCCTCAAAAGGGTCGACGTTACGAGGAGACAATGTGTTATTGGCGAGGACGAAGTGACTCAACAGAGGACGAGGACTAAGACGAGCACTCCTTTTACTTAAGCAGCAACAACTAGTTTTAGGAGGACTGTTCCCTAGAGAATATTCCAGTGAATATTCCTCCCAGTTGTACTTTTTTAGGGTTTTGTGACCCATGTACCCTTATAAATAGAAAGATATGTTGTTATAGAAGGGGGGAGGGCATTCATTGAAAAGAGGAACACATTGGCATTGTCTGAAGATTCTCCCTTTATCACATACATACAAAGTTCACCTTTTACATCTTTATCTATCTTTTCTTCCCTGATCCAAGAAGGATTCGAATATCAAAAGACTTATCATTATCCATCATTGTCAGAAGAATTATTTGATAATCTCACCTTTTGTCGGGTGACTTCTATTCATTTATTTAAATAAATACCATTTTTTGCTATTTATTGCTATCTTCCATATTCTTGAATCGTTTATTACACTATTATTGTTATCATTTAATGCTATACTATAGTACACGTGAGATATCTTCAATAGATACACTTGGTCTATCTTGTGGAAATTAATATTGGCTAAGATTAACCTTATTTCATTATAAACTTGATTGTATAAACCAAGATCTAAATTTTTGGTCATACAATTTGGCGCCATCTGTGGGGATTTTCTCAGCCAATCTTTTAGTTTCCATTAGATCCATAACTCACGTGACTTGATAATCTAACAAACCAAAAAATTTATCCTTTTTCTCTGCGCGTACAAAAATTTTATGGCAGATAACCAAGAAAACGGAATGAAGGCAACAGATATTGTTCTCAACCTCATGAGTGCCATCAATGAAGATTATGACACCCAAGATGAGGAGGTGAAGCCTACGGCCTCTCCCCGACAAGAGAGGTCGCCTGCACCTTTTTGCAGCACAACAAAACCAAGCAGGAAATGGGCCACCCGCTATGAAAAAGCTCCTTGAAGCATGGCTAACTGATACTCTAGTTAGCGTGCTCAGTAAACAAGCCCCATGCACCACCGCAAAAACCACGAGAGTCCATGTAGCAGGACGCAGGAACGAACAAGACGACCAACCAGACCCTCCGACTTCAGGCAAAACTCATACTATTACGGACAGTGCAGGTGACAACGTCCTCGCCTCCGTGCTAAAAAGAATGGAAGAGATGAAAAACGAGAACAGGGCGCTCAGGGATCAAATGAAAGAGCACCAGGAACGGGTAGACAAAAAACCAGGGGCTCCCAAATTATTACCAAAAAGAGATGCCGGCAGGTTTGTGGAACAGCTGTACAGGGAAGAAGCGGCTCCACAGTCCATACCAAAGACCTTCAAGATGCCCCCATATTTCAGAATTTACGAGGGATGAACGATACCTAAAGATCATCTAACCCACTACGTCACTGCCGTGAAAGGGAACGACCTCGCCAAAGAGCAGGTGTCCTCTATCTTGCCGAAAAAGTTCGGTGAGACTCTCACTGGAGGGCATTGACGTGGTACTCACAGCTGCTAGCTTATTCCATAGAAATATTCGAAGAGATGGCCGATAAGTTCGTAACGGTGCATGCCGGGTATAATAAAGCTGAAACAAGGGTGAACGATATCTTCGCCATCAAACAATCCCCATGAGAGGGATTGAGGGATTTCCTCGCCCGATTCAACAGGGTGCGGATAACCTTTCCAAACGTCTCCGAAAGGGTAGCCGTGGTAGCCTTTCAGAATAGGTTGAGCAGAGAGGGTTCGAGGGCGACCAAAAAGCTACTGAGTCGATTAATGAAGTACCCACCGGCAACTTGAGATGAAATCCATAATGCCTTATATGCCGAGGTCAGAGTAGACGACGACGACCTTAATAGACCAACTCGACGACTCACCTCGGTACAATCCGAGCCAAGAAAAGAACGCAGGGATAACACAAGGAGAGACCATCCAGTATCGCAGCCAGGAAGGGAATGACACCAACCCTATGTCAGGACACCTGTTCCCTCCTTTCGTTATGAAGACGACCCATCTAGGCCGAGACTGGGCACTCACAGTAATGATCGAGGTATGCCCCTTTACTATCTTCTTACAACTTTTGTGTGTCACCTACAGAGGTGGTCTATGCTCTTGAGAATCTTGGAACAAAGGTAAAATGGCCACCAAAGATGAGGTCCGACCCAAGCACCAGAAAATCTGACGCCCTCTGCGAGTTCGACAGAACGTGGACACAAAACAGAAGATTGCATTGCTCTAAGACTAGAGGTAGAAAACTTGCCACAACAAGATCGTCTCAAGGAACTACTCAGTGACAAAGGCAAGAACACTTTAGCGAGGGGTCGAGAACACCCAGGTCAACCAAGCCCGCCTTCGCCAGCTCGCACCATCAACATGATTATTGGTGGCAGTGACGATGCCTCTATTAACGACATCAAATTCACACCACCCACAAGCTCAAAATATGGATCACCCACGAACGGTATGACGGACTCGAAGAAAGTATCATCTTCGATGAGTCAGATGCCGACTGTTTGGCTGTCCCTCACAATGATGCACTTGTCATTACATTACGAATTTTAGATACTAATGTTAAGAGAATTATGGTAGATGACGGAAGTGGGGCGTGTATCATCCATCCACGAGTCCTCGCACAAATAAGACTCAAAGATAAGATAGTGACGTGCTGCATCACACTAATCGATTTCAACAATGCAGTTAAACGAACTTCAGGAGAGATTACACTCCCCGTCCTTGTAGGGTGGCTCTAGAGACAATATTCCATACCATGGACTAGACACCGCATATAATGCCATCGTGGGACGACCATGGATACACCCTGTGACAGTCGTCCCCTCCAGCTTATACCAAGTGATCTAAATCCCCACACCTTGGAGAATACTAAGCATATGAGGGGAACAACGTATGCCTCGGGAATGCTAGTGAATCATAGCAATCAGCAGGGTCGAGGTCGCCTCAGGTCGAAGCCAAAAAAGTCATTATGGACCCGAGATGGTTGAAGCCGCAGGGTCAACTATAGAAAACCTCAACCCCGTCCATCTAGATCATAGAGACCTCAACAAAAAGGCCTATATCGGCTGCAAACTCCGAGACATAGGTAAATTTAGTCAATTCTTAGTAATTAACACAGATCTATATGCCTTTAGTCAGGCAAATATACCAGGCATCCCTAAGGAAATTTCCACGCACAGGCTGAATGTCGACCCCTTCTACCCTC